GGGATTACAGACCAATATTGGTCGAGGCAGTGAAGTCAATTATAATTATAAAGTGGGGTACTGGTCAGTGGTCAAGCGACAATCTGGCCCGGATCCAGTGCCGAGTTATTTTAGGTCCCGTATTCTTAGTACATATCATGGTTTCATGGAATGAATAAATCAAAAGTTGAATTTTGGTCATTACATTTTGGCTAAATTGGTGCCAAGGAAAAATTGTTGGAGTTTTCACAAATCATGTAGTAGTTATTTATTAATGACTCCTAAAGTGAGCGTTTTTGAGTATATTATGATGTGCATGAGTCGGCAATTGCGAACAATTTGCTGTTAGCAACTGACCCATTGACCTTTACTAAAGAAACCGTAATTTTGAAAAATTGCCCTTTCGTAAGACACAAATATGCTGCTGGCCTGGCCCATTAAGAGAGATGCCCAATAAAGTAGATCAATCTCCAATTTTTGTAGGTGTTTCTGGACACAAAGTGAGTCATCTTACATCTTGTGACAAATGCTGTGTTGCTCATGAGTCTTTAAGACCTTTCTAGTTAACAGTCCAATAGCCCATTTGTGAATATTGTCATTGTTCGCTCGGCAAAAATCCGTTTTTCAGCCACATTCCCGAGAATAAGTCTTTTAGGGTATATGTTGCTTTATAAGTTGTATATAAGTGTGGCCATTATGTACATTTTAGTGTATCAGAATAGTCTTTACGACCTTCCTAGGCGGAAATGCCAAAAATCACGGAAATTATGAACTGCGTCAAGCCAAAAACCGTTTTTCGGCCATATTTCCGAAACGAAGCATTTTAAGGTATATGTTGCTTCATAAGTTGTATATAAATGTGGCTATTAGGCACATTTTGGTGTATCGGAATAGTCTTTAAGACCTTCCTGGCCTGAAATACAAAAATTCGAGTGACCGCGAAACCCTGAAAAAGGGTGTGGCCGAAAACGCCCTCATTGCATTTATTTCAAAAATGCAATGAAGTCCAAATGTTTTAAGAATCATCTAGAGAGGTGATAACCGTTGAGAAATCGCTTTTAACACGAAAAGCTAACGAGATTCCGTTTCGTCTCAGACTAATAGACAATAACCTAAAAACAAAGCCATCGAGGTAATTTAAGAACTTTGAATATTATATATTAGGGCTGCTCGTTTATTGACATTGTCAAGCTTAAAACGTCTTGTTCATAAACAGTGGACACCTGCACATCTTTCCAGCATCTTGCATATATAGTATGTAAACCTTGCTGGCTTTGTTCTTAAAGGCCTTGTTCGGAGTTTGAGTTTCTTAGTGATAAGAAGAAGCCACTTTAAAATTAATTTTCAAACTTAGCTTTCAGTTTTACGATTTTAGATCCAAGTGCTTGATGGATCTCAAAAAACCAATACTTGCACAATAAAAATATAAAATTCATAGCATTTCGAGGTCGGTTAGTTGGCCATAATAACATAATAACTACTTGCAAAATCCAGTACTGGTTAAATAAGATTTGATAAATTATTGGCGGATTATTCATGACATAAGCTTTAAGCTTTTTAAACACATTTTAAACTGCGTATGTGATTTCTTTGTTAGCTTTGTGTACACCTGTATATCACTATATCGGAATGTGGGCATACCGTGGCAAATATCACAGAGTCACAGATCCTTTGTGGGTGTTGAACTAGGTATTAGTACTCCATTGAAGTAGTCGAATGAGCTTTTTAGTAAAACAAAAAACAGTTTAACCGGTTGATACCAAGTATTTCCCGCACGCTTTGATTTTGTTAGATTGTGTTGTTCGAATATAGTTGATGCACTGGATCTCCTAATTGCTACGTTATCTGTAAAATGAACAGGAATTTGATCGGGTATATACCAGATTGACTGACATATGATTCAGTACTTTTCGTATTATTTTAATTGCTGAGCTATGTCACTTTTTGTCCAAATTGTCATGCGTAACAGTAGGCATCAGAGCTTGCCGCCTCACCACTATTAAACCATGCTCCATGTCAGAAGGTTTGGATATATTCCTCTGTTAATACTAGAGCTTCATGCTCGATCAACTCTGATCATGAAACCTATCTTTCAATAACCCCTCCTTGGTCATTATTCCTTAATCGATTTGAAATACTTCGATAAATAATTGTTATATTAGTTCAATAATTGTTTTAATATATAAATAATTGTTTCTTTTATGGAGCAATATAGATTGTTTTGTAGATTGGGGAGCAGACATTTCAACACACGACATTTTGTTTTAAATAAAGCTTAGTGAATTTAAATATCGAGGTTGAAACATGTCAGGTACCGTCTGCACTCGATGTTATACCTTAAGGCCAATAAATTTGGTTCACAATAAATTTGGTTACAAACATTTTGGTTGCTATAACTTTAGTCACAAATTTTGTAAATTTTTAGTCTACAACAATTTTAGCCACATTTTTTGACTTTTCGAAACCATTTTCCATTCCATTTATTTGATTTTTCCATGACATATGGCAGCGGTTTTAAAGGCTTAATTTTAGAAGGGGTCGTTTCACATAATTACTTCAATGAGTTAAACTTAAACTAAATGCAGAAACTGCCTGATGGGAAAAGGAAGCAAGAGAATGCGAAAGCATAAAAGCAGTGAATTAAACGTGTAATTATAGTCAAAGTAGTTTAGCAGTAGGAACGGTGATGTCATTATATCATTATATTAATTATAAACAATTTAAGCAATAATATTCATGTCATATAATATGCTCTACTGAAATTTTGGTCTGCTTTTAAATTAGTCGCCAAAAAATTTAGTCTCAATAAATTTGGTTTACAACAATTTTAGTCAAAATTTTGACTAAATTTATGGTACGTAGACTAAATTTGTCGTTCTTAAGGTAGATCGTATTCCAGAATTTCATAGCTTGTATTCTGCACTACGTTTTAAATTTAAACAACATTGGATCCTTATACCAATATTATGATTACACTGTGTATTATATAGTAGTGACGGGTAGATAACTAGCAGATACTATCATGTGTCTCCACCTCATACAGAGCTTATACGATAGCACATGATCATTAATCTTGCTAACTGATATTGATGGGGGATATCTCCGCCCTGTACCACCCTCCTACCAGTCAGAAGCCTTGTTTATTATTGTGTGGTGTCGATTAAATTACAGGCTTGCATTCGTGCACTCGTACCTAGACAATAATTATCGTGTAATAATGAGTGCACGTGCAATGCAAGGTGCACGTGCAATATAAGGCTTATATACACTGAGTACAATGGTTCGGAGCCAATGTTAAGTATCACTCCAATGTCTAGCCTTGCTCCGAGGTGCTTTATCGTTTTGTCACCTCGAGACAAGCTGTGCTACTGTTTTTTATCAATATGTTTTCTGCACTACTCTTCGGTGCTTCAATTTCAATAGCTATATAATATGTTCGTCTGTGCCGGGATCTCAATCTCCGTTTGTACTCTTGCTCGTTCATTGGTAAGTAGGAATTTTTTCTATTTATATGTGTTCAAGGGTGTTAAAATAAAAAACGAACTATTGAAAGGAATGGCAAAACATCGGTCGACAATATTCCCGATATTACTGGTACTAGGTCGGAACTAAGCCCTCCAGATAACCCTCTCCAATCTATATAATATGTAGTCCTGTCCCGCATCAGGGTTCGCAGTTTCTCTTTGGAGTTTGTCCCAACTTCCACCAGTAACATTTTCAATTTTAATCTTAATTTTAATTTTCAGTACGTTTTTACCTAACAATATCATTTTTTTAGCTAGCAGAATGGTTTTCAGAGGGCATTAATGAAATTTAATGTACTATGAGCTGGTCCCAAGTCCAGACGCCATTTTACTCTTTGTAATTTTCAATAACCCTGTCTAGTCATTGACTACTGATAGACAAATAGCTTTGTCGGCCTTGACGTCCTCTGCACAGGTTCCCATGATAAGACTAAATCACTGGCTAGTAGCTCAGGATGTCTGATAGTGACATGATGCAATGTCCCGCCATTTTTAATCTCATGCTTTGTATTTTGTTTGATAGCATTTGTAGGCTACCATAATGGGTCGATGATTTAAATTTGGAAGAGGTTAATATGATGCCAATGAAAATTATGAAAATTACAAATATGACCTTAGCTGAAATTTGGTAATTCTGTCTGACCGGGAAATTGGGTAAAATTTACTGACTAAGATTAAGATTATGCTCGCGGATAAAGCCTGGTAATCCTGTAGCACTAGTTTTAGGCACATCCTCGCGTGCTCCCGTAACTCATCTAACGTCTGACGTCACTAATTTATTGAATTTATGTTAAGTATAATTTAAGTATTTAATTCATTCCCACTGCCGTGCAACAGTGTAACAGTGTAACATTATACCAGTGTAACACGGTGTTACACAGTGTCACACAGTGTCACACAGTGTTACACAGTGTCACACAGTGTTACACAGTGTCACACGGTGTAACACAGTGTAACACAGTGTCACACAGTGTAACACGGTGTAACACAGTGTCACACAGTGTCACACAGTGTTACACAGTGTCACACAGTGTATCACAGTGTAACTACATCTCGCTCCAATCCGGAGTGATACCAGTTGTTTAAGCTTAATTTGCTTATGGATAATGGCTCAGTCCTTCCTGCAGATCATTACTACTGTCCAGGTTGCTGTGTGTAAGGGGACGTTTCCTAAAGTTTCCACTCTTAGATAAAGTTAGTGTCATAATGGTATTGTTACCAGGAAAATACCTCAGTAGGTCCTGTACCCTGCAAGTACCCTCTTGTAGGTCTTTAGCTCTCCTCATGTCGTTTAGCTTCTGGTTCTGGCTCTATAACTTGAATTGTGACGTCGTTTTTTGTAAAGAGTTACTGTTGTCTTTTTTGTTGCATTATATGGTTGAAAGATTTTTTGATGATTTTTTTTTCTTCATTATAACATAAGAGTATAGATTATATTACTATTTAGTATATACCTACTTTTAACAAATATAAGATACATTGATACACACTGTGAATAGTAATTGTATCGAGAAAGATGAGCCCACGAGGCACGAGTCAGATGGTGAGTTGAGCTAAACTACAAGGATCAGTAGTAGAGTAGTGGGTAGGACAGATAATAATGGTATCTCTGAGAGCACCTGCAGTGCTTTTGGTCTTGTTGGTGGTCTGTGTTAGAGAAACTGGAGCTAATCTCGGATCTGCTGACAACATAGCCAATCAGATTGGGGATGTGTTGGCTCAGTTCATGGCAAAGTGGTTCGATAAGGATGCTATCACAAAGATTTATAGCACGCAAAGTTACGACACCTTAACGGGTAAGAGAAGTGTATTAAATAAAGAGAATTATTCACAAAGACAAATCGCCATGAAGTTTACTAAACATTTATCATTGGTTTTTACCACTAACAGGGCTGGAAATACTTGAGATAATAAAGAAGAATGTGACCAATCAGTATTTAAACGGTGAAGAAGCTTTAGGCAACATTAGAAAGAGTGCTCTGGAAAGCTTTTACAATTACACAGGAGACACCAACGACTTTGACTTTCTTAATCGGTTTAAAAACAGGTTAGCAGTTATATCTTATTTAAAATGTTAGTAACCATACATTTTCAATTAGTTAGGAATTACCTATGGAGTTAAATTTTGTCAGTTATTTCTAAATGGCTCCACGAAAAAATCATGAAATTTCCCGAGAGTAACTGAAAATAGTAAATCACGATGCAAAGTCCAACGTCAATGTTATCGTACAGCTATTTGATGAATTTAAAATCAACTGTTAGCCTCTGATTTATCTAAATGGAAATACAAAAGGCTCTCTAAAGATGAAACACATAAGTGTATGAAGAATCCTATTTTAAAGTACTCGTTGAACATTGCTGACTTGTTAATTCCGGTGGAAGATTCAAAAGATTCCTTCAGAGGAAACAATCACCTTCACCGGAAAGAAGTCAGCAATGTTCAATGAGTAATGAGCTTTATAGAGTTACAATTTACCTCTGATTTATTGAGAAGTTAAGATATTTAAACCGTGGTGCTGATCATAATCATAAGAGCAAGTTTAATTAAATAGTCAGCAATCTTGTCAAAATCTGCCTCGTTGGTATAAGATCTGACATTTTATAAATGATCCTTCAGAGGACATATCACATCACATGATACCACGACTAGTGCATTTAAAATACAGTGCGGTTCCGAGCATGAATTACGGTGGGTAACACTGACAGAACAGGACTTTAGATTGCTAACGAGAGCAATCGTCATGACTTTGAGACCGATATTAACGTCCCAACTATCTCGGTTCGCGTAAACTATCGTCATGGGCGTCTAGGTGCTGTCCTGAAGTTTATAAATTAATCTGCGAACTTCCAGAGTGTTTAAGTTTCAGCAGTTCTTTAATTATGCTGCTTTAATGTTTGTAGCAAATCAACAACTATCCAGAAGTTACAGTTAAACTGTTAGCCAAACTGCGGAGAGCCGAGAGGTAGTCCAAATTGGAATAAGATTCTTTATCTAAAGTGAAACACAAATTACACAGCCTTCTTTAAGACTAATTAAGATATGTAAAGGTTTTATTAAACTATTAAAGTTTAAAGATTTTATATTACATAGAAATAAATGAAAATGGGTGGATACTATCACTATAATCGATGCTTTTGGGTATTAATCGGGTACCAATTAAATTCGCTGCAGGGATATACAGAATGACTAAACCATTTTTAAATCAATACCAATTACTAACTTTATACCCGAATGCCACAAAATCATTCATGAACATTAAATAAAACAAACTGAATCACAGAATTGCCAGTTTTAAATGACGCATAATTATAGTGATTACAGTCCAGTACGCCCCAAATTCTTTGAAACAGTGTTGTTAGGGGAAGTAGTTAAAGTAATAACACATAAAACCAATCAATCACAAGCTTTTCCAATAAGTGATGATATAATTCTCACTTGAAAAACTGGTGAGGGGAGGTATTTATTATCTAAGTGTAGTTCCAGTGCCACATGTTGGGAAATCAGCTAACTTAGTAACTTAGTAACTTAGTAACTTAGTATCTTAGTAACTTAGTAACTTAGTAACTTAGTAACTTAGTAACTTAGTAACTTTATTATGCTAGATTAATATGTTCCCAACCCTGACCCATAACATAATATTCGCAATTGTCTGTTACTCAGTTAGATCTGCGTACAATATCGGACCTTATTTTAACGGACATTAATTGAACGCTGGAGGCCCTAACGTTCAAATTGGTCTGCCGGAGGCACAGAAAACTCTACTAGTAGATGTATTCTGGGTAAAATTATCTTTATCCCGGTTGTTGCGACAAGTAAAAATGCTCTTATTAGGGAAAGGAATTTAAGGAGATTACTCCCAGTAATACATTACAACAATGCGACTCATAAATAATACTCCAATCCGGATTTTACATCTACTAGTAGACGTAGTATATGATGTTTTCAAGGGTCACTTGGCAGAAAAAGTCAACGATATTATGGCACTCAACAACATAGTTCATGAGCTAGTCCCCGCCAACATGACAAACTTGTTCCAGCCTCTAGAAATTACGGTAAATGACATTGTCCGACGTTGTTATAGTTCATATTACTCAGTACAGGGGAGGTAATGAAACAGTGCTAGGAAAGCTCCACGTGATGTTAAGGTTAACCTAAAGTTGTCTAAGATAAAACCGCTTCACGCCGAATGGCTTGTAAAAGTTAATACTGAAATGCAAGATCGGGGTAGTTTGATAAAAAAGGTTTCCATAAAGCTATAAATCACTGATGCTTTAAGCATGGACTATTTCATGTACGGAAACCCATTTGATGAAGATGATAATATGTAACATTAGACACTGATCATGTACACATATTTTAACATTTTTACTACATAACGACTGCTTTTCTTACTTACTGTATGAAAAATGGATTTAAAAATTATTTGCTGAAATAAAAAAAAGTTTAAAAAAATGTAAGTAGTAAAAAAGTATAAAAAAAGTATAAAAAGTATAAAAAAATTTTTTGTCAGCCGGGTGGTGTAGTGGTAATTCACTTGCCTCCCAAGCGGAAGACCGGGGTTCAAACCCCGTCTGAGGCAGGCAGGCCAGGTCACCAAGCTGTGATTGGTACAGGATTTATCCTGGTAATTATGCTCGGAGGATATCAGTGACGCGATTCCCACTACAGTGTAAGCTGCAGTGTAGCTGTAAAGTCTACCGCCATTCGGAATGAGTGTGAACTTGCATACCAGGCAATCATGATTTCCGCTTGGTTCTCATCAGGTCTCTAAGAAAGCCAACAGTGTGCTGATATGCACTGTCATATGTACTTCCTAGAAGCAGCACACGGCCCATTTCGGACTTGCACGAGTTATAATTATTAAAAAATGAAAAACATTCGGATTTTTTAAAGGTTTTGAATGCCTTCTAGCGTTCATATTAATGTCCGTTCACAATTATGTCCGTTCATAATTATGTCCGTCCAAATAAGGTCCGATAAGGTATTTATTAAATGATCTGCACGAGACACTTTAACAAAACTACCAAGTTCATGGCTCATGTTGTAAAGTTAAGCGGATCTTGCAATTCGGCTAGGATAATCATTATAAAACTACAAATTATTTAACGGTGAGCTCTGTTCTTTTTCAGGACACACAAAGACCTCCCGATCAGCTACCACAAAACAGCTAACTTTAAACGGGAGGTAGCCGTCACTAACTCCAGTCTGGTGCTTCCTATAGATGTTTATTACAACTGGACGGAAGTAAGGGAGACTATTCTGTGGACAGCTAACATGGACCAAGCCTTCAAAGATAACTGGTCACCAAACCTGGTAAATGGACTTTTAACCCTTATCAAACTGGGGGTGGGTTGATTCGTCCATCCCTCCCTGCTCCTGTCTGTATATCAATAGTATAATAGGTCTTTCCGGGCGGTAAAGTGCTATCAATCGCATTGCTTGTGGTATAGGCACCACGCCGTATAGTTTGTTCACAGTTCTCTAGAGAATTGCGCAATGCGCAGACCGACACCATTAGAGTCTGTGGCTCCTCCATCTATACTTATTAGGGATCGTGCCCTCCTGGCTTACCAGTTACCAGGAGGGACTTTTCCATAAAAATAGTGGTTCCTCTCCTTACAGAAATAACAGGGATGATCATTAATGAAGGGATGGTGTGGTTTGCGGATTTTAAATCACTGAGTGCAGCACTTAGGACGCTTTCCACCTTTGATATGATCATACTAAATCAAGTAATCATGGTTGTGATTAAAATTTTAAGGATTTTCATTATTTCCGAACGTTTATGATTTTAATAAAGATACAGGTACTTAGCTATCTTGAAAGCTTATAATTCTGATAAAGATACAGGTACCTTGCCACGTCGGGGTGTGCTGGATTCCACCTAACATACTTAGGTCACCTCACTCCTGGAAATACGTATGTCTCTGGGCATGAATTGGTTGTGCGTTTAGCAAATAGAACCGTGTGTTATGGGAGATAAGACTCCTTATATTGGGTGTGGTTGATTTCATTATTTTGTGTTTGAATGTGAATGGTGTTCGCACAATTATACAGTTGACATGATAGTATCTTAGAAGCACTCTTTGCTTGATGACGGTCAGTAAATATCTGACAGACTGATATAAAACACATGCAACAACATATTTCAATGAATTTATTCGTGAAGTATTAGAGTATTACTATTAGTACTAACTACTAATACTACTAGGGAGTAGGTATAACATTTTATCCACAGCCCCCTCCACCTAATCCTATCAATGTATGTATAATCATTAAAAAAAACTCAATGTCCCCAAGTCGGGTGGTTGTTATCTACACTCCCCATCAGACTCAATGTCCCAAGTGTGGTTGTTATCTACACTCCCCACCAGACTCAATGTCCCCACGTCGGGTGGTTGTTATCTACACTTCCACCAGACTCAATGTCCCCAAGTCGGGTGGTTGTTATCTACACTCCCCACCAGACTCAATGTCCCCACGTCGGGTGGTTGTTATCTACACTTCCACCAGACTCAATGTCCCCAAGTCGGGTGGTTGTTATCTACACTCCCCACCAGACTCAATGTCCCCAAGTCGGGTGGTTGTTATCTACACTCCTCACTAGACTCAATGTCCCCACGTCGGGTGTTTGTTATCTACACTCCCCACCAGGCTCAATGTCCCCAAGTCGGGTGGTTTCTTATCTACACTCCCCATCAGACTCAATGTCCCCAAGTCAGGTGGTTGTTATCTACACTCCCCACCAGACTCAATGTCCCCAAGTCGGGTGGTTGTTATCTACACTCCCCACCATACTCAATGTCTCCAAGTCGGGTGGTTGTTATCTACACTCCCCACTAGACTCAATGTCCCCAAGTCGGGTGGTTGTTATCTACACTCCCCACTAGACTCAATGTCCCCACGTCGGGTGGTTGTTATCTACACTCCCCACCAGACTCAATGTCCCCAAGTCGGGTGGTTGTTATCTAAACTCCCCGCCAGACTCAATGTCCCCAAGTCAGGTGGTTGTTATCTACACTCCCCACCAGACTCAATGTCTCCAAGTCGGGTGGTTGTTATCTACACTCCCCACTAGACTCAATGTCCCCAAGTCGGGTGGTTGTTATCTACACTCCCCACTAGACTCAATGTCCCCACGTCGGGTGGTTGTTATCTACACTCCCCACCAGACTCAATGTCCCCAAGTCGGGTGGTTGTTATCTAAACTCCCCGCCAGACTCAATGTCCCCAAGTCAGGTGGTTGTTATCTACACTCCCCACCAGACTCAATGTCCCCACGTCGGGTGGTTGTTATCTACACTCCCCACCAGACTCAATGTCCCCAAGTCGGGTGGTTGTTATCTACACTCCCCACCAGACTCAATGTCCCCAAGTCAGGTGGTTGTTATCTACACTCCCCACCAGACTCAATGTCCCCACGTCGGGTGGTTGTTATCTACACTCCCCACCAGACTCAATGTCCCCAAGTCGGGTGGTTGTTATCTACACTCCCCACCAGACTCAATGTCCCCAAGTCGGGTGGTTGTTATCTACACTCCCCATCAGACTCAATGTCCCCAAGTCGGGTGGTTGTTATCTACACTCCCCACCAGACTCAATGTCCCCAAGTCGGGTGGTTGTTATCTACACTCCCCACCAGACTCGATGTCCCCAAGTCGGGTGGTTGTTATCTACACTCCCCACCAGACTCAATGTCCCCAAGTCGGGTGGTTGCTATCTGCAATCCCCACCAGGCTCAATGTCCCCAAGTCAGGTGGTTGTTATCTACACTATCCACTAGACTCAATGTCCCCACGTCGGGTGGTTGTTATCTACACTCCCCATCAGGCTCAATGTCCCCAAGTCGGGTGGTTGTTATCTACACTCCCCACCAGACTCAATGTCCCCAAGTCAGGTGGTTGTTATCTACACTCCCCACCAGACTCAATGTCCCCAAGTCGGGTGGTTGCTATCTGCACTCCCCACCAGGCTCAATGTCCCCAAGTCAGGTGGTTGTTATCTACACTCTCCACTAGACTCAATGTCCCCACGTCGGGTGGTTGTTATCTACACTCCCCATCAGACTCAATGTCCCCAAGTCGGGTGGTTGTTATCTACACTCCCCATCAGACTCAATGTCCCCAAGTCGGGTGGTTGTTATCTACACTCCCCACCAGACTCAATGTCCCCAAGTCGGGTGGTTGTTATCTACACTCCCCACCAGACTCAATGTCCCCAAGTCGGGTGGTTGTTATCTACACTCCCCATCAGACTCAATGTCCCCAAGTCGGGTGGTTGTTATCTACACTCCCCATCAGACTCAATGTCCCCAAGTCGGGTGGTTGTTATCTACACTCCCCACCAGACTCAATGTCCCCAAGTCGGGTGGTTGTTATCTACACTCCCCACCAGACTCAATGTCCCCAAGTCGGGTGGTTGTTATCTACATGCTCCCCATCAGACTCAATGTCCCCAAGTCGGGTGGTTGTTATCTACACTCCCCATCAGACTCAATGTCCCCAAGTCGGGTGGTTGTTATCTACACTCTCCATCAGACTCAATGTCCCCAAGTCGGGTGGTTGTTATCTACACTCCTCACCAGACTCGATGTCCCCAAGTCGGGTGGTTGTTATCTACACTCCCCACCAGACTCGATGTCCCCAAGTCGGGTGGTTGTTATCTACACTCCCCACCAGACTCAATGTCCCCAAGTCGGGTGGTTGCTATCTGCACTCCCCACCAAGCTCAATGTCCCCAAGTCAGGTGGTTGTTATCTACACTCTCCACTAGACTCAATGTCCCCACGTCGGGTGGTTGTTATCTACACTCCCCATCAGACTCAATGTCCCCAAGTCGGGTGGTTGTTATCTACACTTCCACCAGGCTCAATGTCCCCAAGTCGGGTGGTTGTTATCTACACTCCCCACTAGACTCGATGTCCCCAAGTCGGGTGGTTGTTATCTACACTTCCCACCAGACTCAATGTCCCCACGTCGGGTGGTTGTTATCTACACTCCCCACCAGACTCAATGTCCCCAAGTCAGGTGGTTGTTATCTACACTCCCCACCAGACTCAATGTCCCCAAGTCGGATGGCTGTTATCTACACTCCCCACCAGACTCAATGTCCCCAAGTCGGGTGGTTGTTATCTACACTCCTCACTAGACTCAATGTCCCCAAGTCGGGTGGTTGTTATCTACACTCCCCATCAGACTGGTTCAGCGACGTTGCTACAGTATATTGGCACCCCTCAGGGGGTCATGAGAGGGTATCCCTCCTATTACACACCCAGAGTGGGAAAGTGGGTCACCTACGATCACCGCTTCAGAATATGGTTTGTATTTTTTTCGTCATGCCACTAAATTTAAGAGCAGTATGTTAACTAATTTTTTTTAATTTGTGTTCAGTCATGGAATTGAATGAATACTACCGCCTAAAAGGCAATGTACAAATTGATTCTAGGTACGCAGTAGGAGCGATGGAATCAAACAAAGTGGTTTTCCTCATGGACAAGAGTGGAACTCTTGTAGGTGAACCTGTGAAACTTATGAGGGAGATGGCTATCAACATTATCAAGACCATGATATCCGACGAAGACTACATATCAGTCCTCACCTTCAACCAAATAGTGGAACCCTTAGGTACATTACCGTTCAATAAAGTTGTGAAAACTAGACCCACGCGGTTCAAAACACCTGCTGCTGGCTTCACAAACAAATCGCAACTATGATTGTAAAATTTTGCTACAAGGGCGTTGTTCGTGATGGCGTTGTTCGTGATGGCGTTGTTCGTGGGGAATTATTTTTTGCAAGATAGTAATGGTAGAGTGGTTATCTATGTTGTATAGCAGAAAGATTTCCGATTGGTCACTTATTTGACCACTTAACAAAATAACTCACAACTTAAATCGTTTTATGAGGTCATACTTTTAATTTATGAGGCTGTGAAATATTACAGACGGAATTCTGAATATTAGGAACCGGTGATGCAGGTCACTGTAAGTCAGTATTCCATTTGTTGCAGTGAAGAATATGTTGTTCGATGCACTAAGATTTTAAAATGTTGACTATTTGACTAACCGTCTGTTCGGCTGAAGGACTAAGTGATGCTACGTGAAAATATCAAAGACTCATTGTCATTGGATCAAATTATAGTTGATCGAACAGAGACGGTAATATAATTAAAATTGGACAATGTAGAACTATCTGCTGTCACAGTTGCACAACGAATAAACGCACGCTATACAAACATCTCAATGACATTGCCAATTTGCTGACAGGAATTTCTATCACAGGCTGTGGAACAAAATTAGTGCGGGCTAGAAGCAGGATAAAAACCATTCTCGGCGAACAAATCCGCAAAATAAGTCCCGAGGGCGCGGGAAACCTAACAGAAGCTATCCGAATGGGATTCGAGGTCCTTAACAACTCCAAGTAAGCCATAGTAATGGTGGTGGTGGTTATCGCGGAGAGCGTTTTCAAAAAGTTAATCTCTTAGTTGCGGTATAACTTTGAACTTGGGAAGCTTTTCCACAAATGTTGCAATTATTGAAATATGCGAACTACACGTAGAAATGGTGCAAATTAATTGTTTTAGTAATCATGGGAAATTTGTTTGAGGTTAAAGTTTCTCTTTGATTATAATACATGTCCGTTTCAACATGCCTGATTGAGACCAGCTTTCAAGCGGGTCACGTAATGCATACTGTAGTGCGACACGTACTCTAGTGCGACACGTACCCTAGTGCGAAACCTCCAAGATCGACACTGTCGCACTAGAGTACGCTACCTGGATCGTAGTGCGACACGTACTGTAGTGCGATAAAAGGTGTTTTTGTCGGACTTCGCACTACAATACGTGTCGCACTAGAGTACGTGTCGCACTACAGTACGATTACCCTTCCAAGCTTCTAGTTCTGTTATGTAGGTTTAATCTTTGAAACATATTACTTGATTTAAGCAATCTAAAACTATAAACCACCCAACATGAAAAGTCAGGTGACATGTCACTCCACTCTGGTGCTGTTTACTGACTACACTCAAACCGATGTGGCGGAGATCATCAGAAATATAACAGTGAGTTGAGTTTATATTTGACCGAGCAAGATGCTAAACATTGACTACGACCTGGAGAGAGCACACAATTGCAAGAACTCTGACATATTTTGACATGACAACTATTGACTTAAATTGCTGTCGAAACTCTACGTTGATTAACCGCACGTCAAAACCTCGGCATCGTGTCTAACTTTAAATAATCTAAAGTGGATTTGCAATTTAGATTAAATTGAAATTCCGGAATTGAACTGGTTTATAATGCAATATTAAACGGATTATGTTCTGAAACCATTTCTGCGGACCTTCTGCTTATAACCTTATATCCACAAAATCAGTGTTTTCTGCTGCATAAATCTTAATTAATCGCGGCAGCGTTTTGCCAAAAGTAAAACGACCCAGTAGTATGTCTAATTGTTGATGAGATACCCAACGATCAGAAATTTAAAATGTTAAGCATTGTAGAACTTGAGGTGCTTAGCAATGTCAATACTTCAATGGTCAGAAAGCAAAAACTGATCACTGATGGATGTCCCTTTACAATTGCAGAAGATTCGTCGGTAAAGATAGTAATCCTACAAGTCAGTAAAGACATTATGTTTGCGAGGGACCTGAGGAAAGCAGCTGCAGAACTGAAAGGTTTCTACGCCAGGATAGAAGACCTTTCTGATATCAGCCCAACTATATTGGAGCTTACTAGCGCTTATACTTCTTTGGTTGATGACGATGACCTTCAGGTACATTGTACATTAATTCAAAATTTTCATAAAATGAACGAGCAAAATGTTATAGTAAACAGTAGAGATTGGATATTGTTGGTTGAGTACATCATAGAATTTCCATAGTCTTTTCTATTCAGGAATCATCAGAAAGCACACATTCAGAAAAATTAACTCAGTTTGAGGTACTATAAATATTAACAAATGTTATTGAAACATCTTTCGGTTAATTCTATCTATCGAGACATCTTTCTCTTCTGTTAGTTATTCATTATAGATATGTATCATCTTCTTGATATGCCACATTTTGAATTATCTATACACGTTATGACTTTAATGTATATAATCTCTTCGCCCTCTGGTTTTACCTTTTATACTTGTTCCACTTACGCCTAAATGTATAAAATGTATCCCTTATAAAGACAATGCAAGTTCTTGACATTATAATATAGCTATCTCTCTGCTACCCTTTGTACTTTTGTAGTAACTTTTGTGAAATGTAAAATATTTAAGGTAATCTTGTCCATTTTATAGAAAATACATAAAAACAGATTAAGTTGATTTAGACAATTGATTTAGAATAAGAATCGTTTAAAAAAAGTTTGTGGACATTACACAACTTCAAATGAGGACCTAAAAAAATGAAAGTGAAGTATGATTTTATAGCGGCACGCTATAGTTATATATCCAAAGGACCAACGCCGGATCGTTATGGAACAGTGAAACTATTTCCACTGGCCAGTATATTAATCTGTTTTAATTGAAATAAACACAAATTTTATAAATCTATTTTTATAGTTTAATCGGTCTAATGAATCAATTTTTTGTATAAGTGGTCATGTAAAAATAAAATGGGGTTTGGCAAATTTCGAAGTAATTTTTGGTTTTTATTCTATACTTCCCGTTGATAATCATGATCTTAAAATAATTAGGCTGTAAAAATTACGAACACTCAATTGTTACAAAAATAAACTTGACAAAACTGGTTTTTTGTCATAAAATTGTCATAAAAATATTTTTGATAAAATCTGATTTCATTTTAGGACGAATCCGAATGGATAGATTATGAAACCACAAATCACGTAAATATACCGCAATGCTATTTATATTAGGTTGTCAGTTGGCATCAAGTTGGCTGCTTTGAAGGTTTGAATAATAACCAACGAAATCTAGCTAAGAATTTACAATTACAATTGCAAAGATTGATCAATGCATGCGCCCAGCTGAAAATTGTTGAGGAACTATTTATAGTTCCTCAACAATTTTCAGCTTATAAATTCTAAGCATTCGATGCAACATTTATACTACAAATACAGCATATATATTTATACTACAGCAAATAACAAAATCACGATAACTTTTGTAAGTTAGACGGTTGAGCCTTAATGGTGAGAGGGCCTACTTATTATATAGTTATTATATAGTTATTTTGAGATATAACATTTATATTTACGGGCGATTCTAAATTAATACAAATTTTGCTCAACTTTATATTTTCATGACGCCAACTGCTTGACAGAAATATTATCGTATTTAGAATTGATATAATTCCGCGGACTATACCTCGTGAAATTCGCTGCGAAATTGGAATGACAAAGCCGCATGACGGCATGATGGCAGAGTTTGACCTCGAATGATTATGCCAAAATCTTGCCGATCGTTTCTTGGGAACCAATTAGAAACTGTGACAACTGTACTGAAGATTTTAATTCGATATTTGTAATGTTGGCACATGAAGCTAAATTAACTGCGATTATCAGACAGAAATGATTTATTGATAGCTGAAGCATGGCAGTGATTGCTCAGGGCATGTCAGGTGCTTATATTACTAATTACTAATGCCACGTTAATGACATGTTGTCTACGGAACGGCTTTTGATTGCTGGAGGGGTTTTTGCTTGATTTTAAAATCTTGCTGGGCGTTTCTGCTTCCGCAACACTATATCGGTGAAGGTGTCGGATTAGCTCGTTTAGCCAAATACTCGATAATCGAATGATTCGTGGTTTTACGAATCCGCTGTCCAATTATAGTACCCAGACAAGTTCTAAATCTTGAATTCTGGCAATACAAGTACTTTGCTGGTTATTTTAAGTCCTGACAGAAAACTGTGGTGACATATTCATAGGCAAATAAATTAGTTGAACTAACCTCCACCTGCACTATAGCTGCTGGTGAACTAACTTCAACTGTGCTAGGTTAAAACCACGCCAATGTATTTGGACGCCTCCACCGAGGAATACATCACCACTTTGGTTCTTCCAGTTGTCACAGATAAGGTAATATAGATATTATCTCTTATTAATATATCTTTCTATAACTCTAGAATTTCACAAACGAAAGAATTTATTCTTTTAAGAATAGCAGATTATTGGCTGAATTCAGAGAACTCCAAAACTGGTTCCCACAAAAATTCACATAAATTGTTCGGTAGTTAAGATTTGAATCGTAAGGCCATAAGAAATATAATGCAATTACAAACTTCTTAATGTACTTATAGATGAGGCTTGGTGTGGTTCGATGCTTTAAGGTGGTAGTCAAGAGAAAAAAGATCTGAAGATCTTAAAAGGAATTGACTAACATGGTAGTGTACAGTCTCAATACTTAATATAAACGGTGGTCATCGCGGCAGGAGAAAAGATGCGGTAGCACTCACGCAACTCAGCCCCGGGCTAGTAAGAAACCTATTGTACGCAACAGGCATTCCGGCACAGGGACTGATGAGTGCAACCACGGCTTATAGTAGATAAGTTATATCGAAGTTTTTAGGAACGTCTAATTATAAAAATTCAGGTCGCGAACTGGACCAGGAAATCAAGTTTACGTCGAGAAAAAGGGTCCTTCCTAGGAGTCGCTGCAGTAGATGTAGAAGCAAAGAGTTTAGGACAGTACCCTCTATCTTCAACTAGGGGATGCTACGCTATCACTGTCGATCTGAAAGGTACTGAAGAACTGACAAAATAAAATCTATCGTCAAGAATTTAACCCAAATTTTGACAGAGACTAAATTTAATTTAATAGGTTTGATGCGATATAATCTTAATCAAGTACTGACTTGACACTTGATAAAGTTAGTTGATGTCAAATCAGCGAGTTAGTAGGTTGGCCGGCAGGCTTGAACATGTTGGGGTGTCTGGTAAGAGCTCACATCTTAAACGGGGATGTCATTTTGACAACCTTGATCAGTACTCCAAATTCTCCATAGTGTTGATATGATTTATCACGGCTGTGTTTAGAAATAGAATAAGAAATAATGCAAAACTTTCGTATTTTAGAGAATTACGGCAATCGCCTTCCCATTAGTTAGTTAATTCTTTAATTCAATTAACCGTAATTTATGACTGATAAGTCAAAGTAATTACTTGTTATTATTAACTTATTAAGTCAGAGTTAGATATAGCACGTTAAAGTGCCAAATTCTTGCTTTACTTCATATTTTGTCAGCTATGAGTATGTGTCCTGACTGACCAAAATATTTCATTAGATAATGTCTGAGGCTGCTGACAGCATGAACTTTCATAACTATACAGCTATATGAGACTTCAATCAAATCATGGCAAACCCACCAGTTCCATTTAAGCACGACGCACGTGCCCTTATATCTGTGTCAAATCTTATCCCCAACTAGAATTTTAAGGGAAATGTCTAGAAACAGTGAAATATCCCCAGGAAGCGTACTGTACCACCCTGTGCTGTACAGTACAAAGGAGTCTATAGAGATAGATCAGAAGCTACACCTCTACTCCTACATCAACGACGCAAAGACTATGAAAGAAGTGGAACGCGGCATGGTCTTTCAGAATCTTACTGAGCAAGCTGAGATGCTTTATGTAGAGGTACGAATAGTGACCACAAATACCGACCACAAATATAGTGACCACAAACTAAACAATGGATACCAGATTGATAAACTGTCCACTGCAGAATTCTTAATATTATTATTAGAATTAGAAATGGCATATTTCATTCTATAACATTTATTTAAATTGGAAGTGTCCATGGCGAAATTATCCCACAGCGAAGTTATTAGAAATATTCAGTTGCGCCCATTTTCCACACATTAACAGGTTCCTGGTTCTCAATCGACAATCAGTGACGTGATCTGATTCGTCATGTCAGATTCTTAAAACGAAAGTTACGTCCAGGGATTGGGCGTAACTATCCGGCAGCCTTCTCACCCTGATTTCCATTTCTCTTCAGGTATCAGATTCGTCCAGGTCGAATAGACAGCGCAGTTTTGCCAATAACTACTTTTTCAATGTGCTAATAGCGGTTGATGACAAAACTTCTCTACTACACATATGTAACAGACAGACTTTGGCATGTGAGTAACAGATTTTTGCTTTTGAGAACGTGTTCATTGACTTAAATTTCTTCAATTGGTAAAACGATCAAATATTTCACGACAACTTCAAACTAAAAATGCGTTAACTGGCTGACTATTATGAATAATAGAATCATTCATATGGAAATTAATCAAAATCACAACGAAAAACCTAAAAATAGATACATACATTCCACATTCTGGAAGGGAAGAATGATGGGGAACTAACCATATTATGTCACGTTCCCGACTCAATTCCCGACCGTCAAGTTGGGTAACTTAATTATAATATCAATTTTCTTGTCAAAATACGACCACATATTATTAAAATGTCACCTCAACATAAGAAGCATAGAAACTGAGGAAGTGACCATATTCCTGGAATATTGCTCACGTATTTTGACACCATTCCGTTAAATAGCATGACAATTTTTGACAATTCACAATCTTAGATACGTATATAGGCATGAAATCAAAGTATTTCCACTTCCCAGACAAGAACCCATGTCAAAATTCGACAGAATCCGGATCTGAATCGAAGCATGCATCCATCGAGGAGAGAACATCATCTTCAGTCAACTGGTTTCCATCTAGCCACAGATCTTTAGTAAGTGTATAAGTTTCATCAGGAACTTCAGCAAACATGTCCAGCCAAGGCATCCAGGTAAAATTGAAGTTTGCTGGGTTGGAAGCTGGATCATGTGGTTTGTTCCCCAAAGGCACAGCCGTGGCATTATAAGCCTTTATCTTTTCTGTAAGCATCTGGACAATGTCTGGAAACTTGTCTGACACATTTCTAGTTTCCGATGGATCCTCAATGATGTTGTATAACTCAATGTAGCTGTCGTGATGTCCACAGGTTTTCTCAATGTCAGTTAGTTCTGGAGCTGGATACCAACCGTTCGGAGGACCACCAGCACCAATGATAAGCTTCCACTCATTCCATCTCAGTCCTGCATGTGGCACTCTATGACCGCAAGCCACTGGTTTGGGGTCAATGTTTATAACAAATTCGGTTCTGTTAGATGGCAAGTTCTCTGAAATAGCCAGCCATTGATCAATTCCATCAAGTGGTTTTGTTTTGATAGGATTATTAGGGTTCAATTTGCCTTGGAGACTAGCCAGTGACCAGAAAGTTGGCAGCCAGTCAGTGACATGTATCATGGCGTCAGACTTGGAAGGAGCTAACCTGTTTCTACCCCATATGAATGAAGGGGACCTAACGCCACCTTCATAAAGAGCCCGTTTACCGCCTCTGTAAGGATAATTGCTTGAGGTCACTTTTCCTACACAGTTCACATTGCCACCATTGTCTGAACTGAATACAATAATTGTGTTGTCTGCCAAACCTGTGCTCTCTAATGCTTGGGTGATGTTCCCAATTCCTTCATCCATAGAGCTTACCATTGCAGCGAATACCTTTTCCTTTTCATCTGTGATGTGGGAGGAAAATTGGTCGAGGTATCTTTGAGGAACCATATGTGGAGCATGGACACTTTGATAAGCTAAGTAAATGAAGAAAGGGTCCTCCTGAGATTTGAGCTTGTTAACCAGATCTACTGTGCGCTCTGAATACAACTCTGCGCTATATCTTCCGTCCAAATCCCAACGTAGTTCGTCCACAAACTTTCCATTTTCATCAAAGTAGTCACTTCTTAAGTCCAAGCCTTTCGAATTTCGATGGGAATCGTAGTTCTGTCCTCCCAAGTAGTAGCCAAAGAAATCATCAAATCCTCTATAAAGCGGTGTAAAGGCCCATTTATGCATGCCCATATGCCACTTCCCCACCGCATGAGTAGAGTAGTTGTACTCCTTGAGGACCTGAGGTATTATGGTCTCATCTAAAGGAAGTCCCCAAGGTTGGCCAGGATAGATAACGTCGTGTTGTAACCCCGTGTGGATGGGATATCTTCCTGACATGAGAGCACCTCTTGTTGGAGAGCAAACTTGTTGAACGTAGTTCTGCGTTAGTAAAACTCCTGATAAGGAGGAAAAAATATAAGATTTTGATAAAATCAGTTATCTTCTTTTCAATTTTTATTTAAATGAGTTACTTGATTGGTCAGGAAAAAAATTGAATATATTGTGAAAAAAATTTAATGAACATTTACCTTCCCTTGCGAGCCTGTTCAGATTTGGAGTTTCGACATGGCCATTTGTAAAACCAACATCAGAATGCCCTAAGTCATCACTCAGAATGTAAATTATGTTGGGTTGTTTTTCTGCATATTCACTGTTCTTCAAACTGATTGAGGTGCCATGGAAACAGAACAGCACACTGATATGAAACAGGTTCATCGAAATCTATAAAAACTCGAGGTTGAATGCCAAACAAACGAATGACGAATTTTGATATTGCGTACAAGAAACAATATTTTATATCTTATCTTATCTGCAAGTGTTGAATTACATTTCCAAAGAAATTTAGATTCTGATTATGTGTTTTTCGTTCGACTTCATTGAAGTGTGTGATTCCTCCAGTCATGCAGGTCAAGCACAATAACAATATTGTCAGGATCTCAGATTATAATTTCACTTCGACATTTTTTCCCGATCCATGACTCAGGTGCCGAAGGCACAAAAGAGTCAAGGTCAACGGTTAAAGAACGAGGTTTTTTCTGTAAACGGTAGCTTGTTTAATTAAAATGTCTGAGTCACCGGGAGTTCTAAACTGATCAACGATTTGGACAATAAAATTGGAAGTATTGAACAGTTTAGCGTATTTGTAATCGTCAAAATTCAACAGTGTTAACGGGATCAAAGCATCCATATTTTGAAGAGATAATTTCATTCTCAGTGAGTTCATTTCCATAAAGTCACACATCTTTAGTAATCGTATATACTTTATGTCTCCGGGACTTCAGCAAAAAAATCCAGCCAAGGCATCCAAGTGTAATTGAAGTGTTTTGGATCAGAAGCTGGATCATATAGTTTGTTTCCTATCGGCACCGCTGTTGCATTGTAAGCCTTTATCTTCTCTGTAAGCATCTGGACAATGTTTGGAAACTTGTCTGACACATTCCTTGTTTCTGATGGATCCTCAATGATGTTGTATAACTCAATGTAGCTGTCGTGATGTCCACAGTTTTTCTCAATGTCAGTTAGTTCTGGAGCTGGATACCAACCGTTCGGAGGACCACCAGCACCAATGATAAGCTTCCACTCCTTCCATCTCAGTCCTGCATGTGGCACTCTATGACCGCAAGCCACTGGTTTGGGGTCAATGTTTATAACAAATTCGGTTCTGTTAGATGGCAAGTTCTCTGAAATAGCCAGCCATTGATCAATTCCATCGAGTGGTTTTGTTTTGATTGGATTATTAGGGTTCAATTTGCCTTGGAGACTAGCCAGTGACCAGAAAGTTGGCAGCCAGTCAGTGACATGTATCATGGCGTCAGACTTGGAAGGAGCTAACCTGTTTCTACCCCATATGAATGAAGGGGACCTAACGCCACCCTCATAAAGAGCCCGTTTACCGCCTCTGTAAGGATAATTGCTCGATGTTACTTCTGGATCATGTACACAGTTCACATTGCCACCATTGTCTGAACTGAATACAATAATTGTGTTGTCTGCCAAACCTGTGCTCTCTAATGCTTTGGTAATGTTCCCAATTCCTTCGTCCATAGCGCTCACCATTGCAGCGAATACTTTTTTATTTTCATCCATGATATGGGATGAGTATTGGTCGATGTATCTTTGAGGAACCATGTGCGGACCATGAACACTCTGATAAGCTAAGTAGATGAAGAAAGGGTCCTCCTGAGGTGTGAGTTTGTTAACCAGATCTACTGTGCGCTCTGAATACAACTCTGCGCTATATCTTCCGTCCAAATCCCAACGTAGTTCGTCCACAAACTTTCCATTTTCATTAAAGTAATCAGTGGCTTGAGGTCACTCAGCCACTCCATGACTCAGGTGCCGAAGGCACAAAAGAGTCAAGGTCAACGGTTAAAGAACGAGGTTTTTTCTGTAAACGGTAGCTTGTTTAATTAAAATGTCTGAGTCACCGGGAGTTCTAAACTGATCAACGTTTTGGACAATAAAATTGGAAGTATTGAACAGTTTAGCGTATTTGTAATCGTCAAAATTCAACAGTGTTAACGGGATCAAAGCATCCATATTTTGAAGAGATAATTTCATTCTCAGTGAGTTCATTTCCATAAAGTCACACATCTTTAGTAATCGTATATACTTTATGTCTCATCCGGGACTTCAGCAAAAAAATCCAGCCAAGGCATCCAAGTGTAATTGAAGTGTTTTGGATCAGAAGCTGGATCATATAGTTTGTTTCCTATCGGCACCGCTGTTGCATTGTAAGCCTTTATCTTCTCTGTAAGCATCTGGACAATGTTTGGAAACTTGTCTGACACATTCCTTGTTTCTGATGGATCCTCAATGATGTTGTATAACTCAATGTAGCTGTCGTGATTTCCACAGTTTTTCTCAATGTCAGTTAGTTCTGGAGCTGGATACCAACCGTTCGGAGGACCACCAGCACCAATGATAAGCTTCCACTCATTCCATCTCAGTCCTGCATGTGGCACTCTATGACCGCAAGCCACTGGTTTGGGGTCAATGTTTATAACAAATTCGGTTCTGTTAGATGGCAAGTTCTCTGAAATAGCCAGCCATTGATCAATTCCATCGAGTGGTTTTGTTTTGATTGGATTATTAGGGTTCAATTTGCCTTGGAGACTAGCCAGTGACCAGAAAGTTGGCAGCCAGTCAGTGACATGTATCATGGCGTCAGACTTGGAAGGAGCTAACCTGTTTCTACCCCATATGAATGAAGGGGACCTAACGCCACCCTCATAAAGAGCCCGTTTACCGCCTCTGTAAGGATAATTGCTCGATGTTACTTCTGGATCATGTACACAGTTCACATTGCCACCATTGTCTGAACTGAATACAATAATTGTGTTGTCTGCCAAACCTGTGCTCTCTAATGCTTTGGTAATGTTCCCAATTCCTTCGTCCATAGCGCTCACCATTGCAGCGAATACTTTTTTATTTTCATCCATGATATGGGATGAGTATTGGTCGATGTATCTTTGAGGAACCATGTACGGACCATGAACACTCTGATAAGCTAAGTAGATGAAGAAAGGGTCCTCCTGAGGTGTGAGTTTGTTAACCAGATCTACTGTGCGCTCTGAATACAACTCTGCGCTATATCTTCCGTCCAAATCCCAACGTAGTTCGTCCACAAACTTTCCATTTTCATTAAAGTAATCACTTCTCAAGTCCAAGCCTTTCAAATTTCGATGGGAATCGTAGTTCTGTCCTCCCAAGTAGTAGCCAAAGAAATCATCAAATCCTCTATAAAGCGGTGTAAAGGCCCATTTATGCATGCCCATATGCCACTTTCCCACCGCATGAGTGGAGTAGTTGTACTCCTTGAGGACCTGAGGTATTATAGTTTCGTCTAGTGGAAGTCCCCATGGCTCACCCGGATAGATGACTTCGTGTTGTAATCCAGTGTGAAATGGGTATCTTCCTGACATGAGAGCACCTCTTGTTGGAGAGCAAACTTGTTGAACGTAGTTTTGTGTCAGTAGAACTCCTGATAGAAAGGAAAGTGTTTTATATTAATATGTTTCATTAAGCAGCTCTCATAATCTTCGGTTAGAAAAGAAACATAATATTCAAATTCATTATTGCAAAACATTAAAACATAATTTGCATTTACCTTCCTTTGCGAGCCTATTAAGATTCGGAGTTTCGACATGACCATTTGTGAAGCCCACATCAGAATGCCCTAAGTCATCACTCAGAATGTAGATAATGTTGGGTTGTTTTTTTGCATAATCCTTGTTCTTCAAACTGATTGAGGTGCCAAGGAAGCAGAAGAGCACACTGATCAGAAACAGATTCATTGAAATCTATAAAAACTCGAGGTTGAATGCTAAACAAACGAATGACGATTTTTTCGTGATGCGTATAAGAAACAATCTCTACTATAATTCAGAGAATTATTTCTGTCTGTATGTCTGTACGACCGCCCACGTGCAAATTATACGAGAAATAGGAATTTAGGTAACAACCAAAAGGTTCCATAGCAACGGTGTTTTAATGCACACATGCACGTGCAAAGATTGTTTTAACGTCATTTTGATCGGTTTTGTGGTAATTACGTTGTGTTTAAAGTGTTTTATATTTAAATCGGCTGTATCTTCGATCGAGATGGATATTTTTTGATGCGATTAAAACGTTCTTTCAAAGAATACTACTAGCTTCGTCCCTGTTACCACGGGCTTTCTAGTCTCTACTATAATTCAAAGAATTATTTTTGTTTGTGTAAGCAGTGGACACAGTTTATTCGTATTTAATTAAGGGCTTGGATAATGGAAACGAGCGTGATAACGAAGGTTACAAGATATTAAACTATAAAACAACACAATGAATAATCCGACAAACTTCTACTTCAAATCATACTTAACCAGACTCATATCGCCCAAACACACCCACAGATCTAATGCTCTAATATAAAATACTGATAGTACGGTCAACTCGCCTTGACCGTACCTTAACTTATCCCCTAATCTAGATGACCTGAATCAACCACTGTTGATTCCCCATAACGACAGGCCCCATCCTAGGTATCCAGGATCCAACCTAGGTATCCAGGATCCAACCCTAACTGGTCCTGGTCTCTTATACTAGTCCGGCATCAATCATGACCCTCTATCGAATAGGGTAAGAACCAAAATGACTAACTATCCAATTACTACAAAATATACTTCCTAATTACTCTGACTTTAATCGCCCTCAATATACTGTAAAACGCACGTTCTTACTCTGCCCTTACTTATCACGGTCAACTACACTTACAAATGCCTCTATCCCGATAACATTAACTACGTAATGCTCCACTATCATACGACCGCCACTAATATACTAACCACTATAACCACCTACCTAACTCAGCGACCTAACCTTGCCAGGTTCAGCTCCCGAACCTGCACGGTATCAAATTGACCCACCTCTCGATCGGGTAAACTGTTACTCACCTATCCCAAAAAGCTAACCCTTTCTCCCTCTCGCCCCTGATAGTCTAAACAATCTTCCACTCCCTGTTAGCAATCTCTAAACAATCCTCCACTATCCAGTCGATAGCCACGCCATTGTAAGTTACAATGGCGTGGCTATCGACTGGATAGTGGTTACAATTTGTAACCTTAGTAATCTATAAAAAGATAAAAGTATAAACACTCCATAAATCAACCTCGTACGTGCTGACCCAAACAATATGTTAAACATATGTTAAACCTCTTACTACAGTACTTGCCCTAGCTAAACAATCCTTAACTATCTGTCGATAGCTCCAACCAAGTAACCCTAGTCATCTCTAAACACTCCATAAACCACCCTCGTGTTGACCTAAACATTATGTTAAACATATGTTAAACTAGACCCCCAACTCCAAGTGGTGTCAAAAACGCGAATCAAATAGGTAATAATTATTTTAGTCTCTTGAGTCTTGACACCATTTTAGGGTTATACGGGTTCCTGCTAGTTAGGTAAAAAGCAAAAGAGTGCATAGTAACCATGGTAACGGTGTTGAAACGCGCAAATGATTCTTTTAACGCCATTTTGATCGGTTTTGTGGTAATAACGTTGTGTTAAACGTGTTTTATATAGTTACTAGAAAGCCCGTGGTAACAGGGATGAATCTAGTAGTTTTCTATTTCTTTGGCAGTCAGTTTTTATCGCGTAAAAAAATATCCTACACAACCAAAGATACAGCCAATGAAAATGTTGCTCGCACTAAACACAACGTAATATCAACAAAACCGATAAAAAATGCAGTTTTAACACGTGCGTGTAACAATCCTCGTTACCATGGTTATTATGTAACTTCCTATTTCTCGCCTAATTTGCACGTGGGCGGTCGTACATACAAAAATAATTTTCTGAATTATAGTAGAGACTAGAAAGCCCGTGGTAGGTAACAGGGACGAAGCTAGTAGTATTCTTTGAAATAAAGTTTCAATCGCATCAAAAAATATCCATCTCAACCGAAGATACAGCCGATTTAAATATAAAACACTTTAAACACAACGTAATCACCAAAAAACGATCAAAATGACGTTAAAACTATCTTTGCACGTGCATGTGTGCATTAAAACACCGTTGCTATGGAACCTTTTGGTTGTTACCTAAATTCCTATTTTTCATCTAATTTGCACGTGGGCGGTCGTACATACAGAATAATTCTTTGAATTATAGTAGAGACTAGAAAACCCGTGGTCACAGGGAGGTAACTAATAGTATTCTTTGGAAGTCAGTTTTAATCGTGTCAAAAAGTATTCATCCCACCGAAGATACAGCCAATTAAAATGTAGCTCGCACTGAACAAGTGAACACAGCGTAATATCAACTATACCGATTAAAATGACGTTAAAACGATCATTGCACGTGCACGTGCGTGTAATAACCCTCGTTACCATGGTAACTACGCAACTATCTATTTTTCATCCAATTTGCACGTGGGCGGTCGTACATACAAAAATAATTTTCTGAATTATAGTAGAGATATTTAAATCGGCTGTATTTTTGGTTGGGATGGATTTTTTTTAATGCAATTTAAACTTTCTTTCAAAAAATACTACTAGCTTCATCCCACAGGCTTTCTATTATTTTATATTTTATTTTATCTGCAAGACGTGTTGAATTACATTTACAAGGAAATATGGTTTATGTGCTTTTCCTTCCTTCATTGAATTGTGTAATTCCTCAAGTTACTTAGGTCAAGCACAATAACAATATTTTCGGTATTTCACTCGACATTTTTTAATTGAAATATCATAGCCACCAGCAGTTCTAAACTGATCAACGTTTTGGAGAATAAATTAGAAGTAGCAGGCTTTATTTTACAAATTGACAGCATATTGATATAGGTTAAAAGCATATAAACTATGTGGAATCAAAAATAAATAAAACTTTTGAACAGTCCAGTGTATTTGTATTCTTCAAAATTCTACAGTGTTAATGTCTTGATCGGGTTCAAAACATGCGTCTCTTGAAGAGAGAATATCATCCTCAGTGAGTTCATTTCCAGAAAGCCAGAGATCTTTAGTGAGCGTATATGTCTCATCCGGGACTTCAGCAAACATATCCAGCCAAGGCATCCAAGTGTAATTGAAGTGTTTTGGATCAGAGGCTGGATCATATGGTTTGTTTCCTATCGGCACCGCTGTTGCATTGTAAGCCTTTATCTTCTCTGTAAGCATCTGGACAATGTCTGGAAACTTGTCTGACACATTCCTTGTTTCTGATGGATCCTCAATGATGTTGTATAACTCAATGTAGCTGTCCTGAGGTCCACAAGGGTTCTCAAGATTAGCATCACCAGGAGCAGGGTACCAGCCACTTGGAGGACCTCCTTGACCGATGATTAGCTTCCACTCCTTCCATCTTAGTCCAGCATGCGACACTTGATGACCACACTTTACAGGAAAAGGGTCGATATTTATAACAAATTCAGTTCTGTTAGATGGCAAGTTCTCTGAAATAGCCAGCCACTGGTTGATTCCATCGAGTGGTTTTGTTTTGATCGGATTATTAGGGTTCAATTTGCCTTGGAGACTAGCCAGTGACCAGAAAGTTGGCAACCAGTCGGTGACATGTATCATAGCGTCAGACTTGGAAGGAGCTAACCTGTTTCTACCCCATATGAATGAAGGGGACCTAACGCCACCCTCATAAAGAGCCCGTTTACCGCCTCTGTAAGGATAATTGCTTGAGGTCACTTTTCCTACACAGTTCACATTGCCACCATTGTCTGAACTGAATACAATAATTGTGTTGTCTGCCAAACCTGTGCTCTCTAATGCTTTGGTGATGTTCCCAATTCCTTCGTCCATAGAGCTCACCATTGCAGCGAATACCTTTTCCTTTTTATCTGTGATGTGGGAAGAAAATTGGTCGATGTATCTTTGAGGAACCATATGTGGAGCATGGACACTTTGATAAGCTAAGTAGATGAAGAAAGGATCCTCCTGAGATTTGAGCTTGTTAACCAAATCTACTGTGCGCTCTGAATACAACTCTGCGCTATATCTTCCGTCCAAATCCCAACGTAGTTCGTCCACAAATTTTCCATTTTCATCAAAGAAATTACTTCTCAAATCCAAGCCTTTGTCTTTTAAGTGGGTGTCGTAGTTCTCTCCTCCCATGTAGTAGCCAAAGAAATCATCAAATCCTCTATAAAGCGGTGTAAAAGCCCATTTATGCATGCCCATATGCCACTTTCCCACCGCATGAGTGGAGTAGTTGTACTCCTTGAGGACCTGAGGCATTATGGTTTCGTCTAGTGGAAGTCCCCATGGCTCACCCGGATAGATGACTTCGTGTTGTAATCCAGTGTGAAATGGATATCTTCCTGACATGAGAGCACCTCTTGTTGGAGAGCAAACTTGTTGAACGTAGTTCTGCGTTAGTAAAACTCCTGATAAGGAGGAAAAAATATAACTAGTTGAACATAGTTTTGTGTCAGTAGAACTCCTGATAGAAAGGAAAGTATTTTATATTGATATGTTTCGGTAAGCAGTTCTTTTAATCATTAGTTAGAAAAGAAAAATATTCAAATTCATGATTACAAAATATAATTTGCATTTACCTTCTCTTGCGAGCCTATTAAGATTCGGAGTTTCGACATGACCATTTGTGAAGCCCACATCAGAATGCCCTAAGTCATCACTCAGAATGTAAATTATATTGGGTTGTTTTTCTGCATAATCACTGTTCTTCAAAGCTATTGCGGTGCCAACAGAGCAAAGCAGCAAAATACTGCAAAACATGACGATTTAAGGTATTTTAAAATGCAATGTGCAAAAACACTTGTGTCCTACCCTCCTTATCTACAAGTGTTAGATTACGTTCATGAAGTTACCTTATTGCGTATTTTTACTTTATCTGTTGTGTCAAATTATTTGCGCATAACGACCCAAGTAACGACATCATTTCACCTCAGTTCCGAAGCGAACCAACGTAGCAAAGATGCTAGCAAGAGACGTTTTACCCGCTAGATTAGGTCCCCAAAAGGACGAGTCACGTGACACTGCCTACTGCAGTTACAGCCAGTTCTCCATCAGAGACTTCGAGGATATCCGGCAGAGTGAAACAGTGGAGCAGTTCATCACCCGGAAGCTGCAGTTCCCAGAGTGTCATGACTTCGCTTTTGAGATTTTTGATGATATTTACATGGTGTCTAATTATCTAAATGAGTATCTGGAGATGAATCCGAGGGTGTCTGTCACTACTGCAGCTGGGAATAGATTCGAGGTGAGATTTTCATATTGCGTTTCAAAGAAGTCTAGAAGTGAACCACCATTCATTTTGCTGCTATAAACAAACACCCTGGGCGGGAGCTTTGTTAACAATGAATTGTTGAATTTAAAGTAGCCAATCCTCAACGTCCTACCCTCTCCTCAGATAAATCAAGGAACTAAGCAGCTGAGAAGAACCAACAACCCCTACACCCGCGAGAGATACACGCGCCTCATCTCAATAGTGACCAACAGTAACAGTAACAGTACGGACATGTTGACGGTAACCAATGTGACTAACCGGAACTCAAGAGACATGTTCGAGTTGTCTCAGGTTATCTACCATTTACAGAGTAACTCCTACCCACTCATGCTATCTATTGAGATTCCAGCTTTTGAGCTGGAGAAAATCATTGAGGTTAGTTTTTCTGAAGAGCTATTTTTTCTGGTAGCTCAATACTGGTTTAGTGCCGCAAAATGTGTCAGAGACTATAATTTTAATTTTGTTGGTGGCTATAAGTTGAAACTTTTCTTTTTAAAGTTCTTCACTTCCTTGATTTTCGATAAAGGGGCAAAAGCGGTAACTGGTGCTGGATTTTTTTTTCATTGCCGATGAGATTGAAAACTGAGATCACTTCCTAACTCAATTTCAATCTTTGTATATTTTCCAGTGGCCTTTTAGAAATTTACGAAAAGCGCTGGGAGGTCGCCGATATCTAGTTGACGAGAACGGTTTCATCATAGCGACTGACGGAGATAATAACGAAGGGCAACACATAGGTAGGTTTTTACAGTATTTCTCAATTTAACCGTGGATTTAAATAAGTGTTTAGGTATTTATTAAATATAATAATATGATCTATCAAATACATCAAAATGCAACAGAAATTACAGACACAATTAATTTCGAGTTTTTGTGAATCAAAAGTTGCAGTGCCAACGGTCACTGGTACTGAATCGGATCGTGGTGACGAAACAGTGGTTTAAATTTAACAAATGGAACCCAGTACAAATCTAATATTGCAAGCATGATATTGCAAGCATGAAAAGAATCAGGTTGAAATGTTCATGACGTTCGAACGGTTCTTTAATCATTTACCTTTTAGTAAGACAGTGGTTTAATTTGGTAACCATGGTGATTGGCTTAAGATTCTAGCATATTGAATTTGCGGCAACAAATGGATTTCCGGATGCAGCTGCATGCAGTAACGAGAAACTGTTTATTTGATTATATTAAAAAATAATGAAATCGTGATAATCCTCTTTTATTTATGATCAGCAAAACTGTACCCAATACTAACGAAGGAGTTGCTAGCGAAGGGTATATTCAACTACTTCAACCACACTGAATGCTACTTCAGCTGTGAAGATTACTATCCTAAAGACACTATCCAGATACGAAGCGCGGCTGAGTCAAGTACGTTAGTTACCATAGTATTAAAGTAACACTACCATAAAAGGCAATGTTTGTGTTTTTATACCCTTAAGATAGTATACAGATACAAAGTGCAGCCGAGTAAACTTAAAGTTCGTGTCAATGGTTAGAGAACGCGTGGTCTTGGAGCTGATTATATTATGAACCATAAAATACGATCGAACACAGGTAATTAGTTTGATCTCGTGTAATTACTTAATTACGGTTCTTTAACTTCCATCGGTTCATATCAACACAGTTCTACACAACGTCGATGGATCACTAATGAAATTTGAAAGATCAAATCACGTTTTCGACTGAAGTTACGTTAATAGAGTCAAAGTTATTCGTTGCCCTCAGAATTTCTCCTTAATTAATGAACTCTTTCTCTAGATTTGGGCATAAAATACAAAACCATATGATTTCGTATAGATATAAATTCAACCGAAACAATTGATTGTCTAATGTATGCCCAGCAGTATCATAGCTTTGATAACTATGTGAATATCTAGACCTTTAGAAGAAAACAGTGTCCATGATGTGTTCACTCTCCGAGCCTATAAAGCGTTCGTTGTTGTTGATTGCAGTCGGTAATATGGGCGATGAAGCTTCAATACCCAATCTTTTAACAACAGGACCCTCTTACGAGGAGTATCTTAACTGAAAAGGGTAAAATACCCAAGGTCTATTCTGCTGCTGTAGTATTGTATAGTCATCACAATAAATATGTTTCTTTTCGGTAATGCAGTACCATATGCATCTGATGCAATCACCGTCGTTCTAACAACAGTCTTTACTCTTTATCAGTGAACAGGTACCTCCCATATCACTCCGCAAAAGCCGTAATGAATCTAGTGTTATCCACAGCATCTTTGGTGGCAAAATTGATGTCGAATTTTTGGTTTTTCATACTGAATCCTTCATCCTTACTTTTAGTATCAAGGTAAGAGTTTCACCCCTATTTTTTTCACTTCTTCAAAATGTCGTTGTTTGTTGAGATAATTTAACGAATGTATGTTCTCTCTAAATTATGAACATTTTCCACAGCATGCCGGACTCTGCTACCCAATTTAATGAAGACTGGAAATCTATCAAGATAAATCTAACTTGCTGTCACGTCCATCCCTTCATGTCTCGAAACTTCTCTGTTATGGTGGACCAAGGAAGCAACCTTCAGCAGGATGAAACCTGCACCAAATCATACAAGTGGGTAGTCCATTTTGATTTAGTAATTTTTTGGAGTCAGTTTTAATAATAGTGATAATACAGATTACGCAGAGGGCACCGTTGGCGTTATTATCTTTGGATTTTGATTTACAATTCTACCATTTTGGATCTATGAGTAATGAGATCAATCGCATACAATGTCCTTATTCGTTATTTTACTAATTCTTGGTAAATCTTCTGGTCGTCAATAAACCAACACTTTTCCTGTTCAGGTACAACACAGTACCAAACACTAATCTCCTCTTCGTGTGGGCCTACTGCACAGACGACCTGTGCACGTGCGAGGAGCCCGAGTATAACCTAGAGACTATCATAAACCAAGTGCTAAACCCGTGTACGGAGTGTGATGAGAACTACAACCCTGTCTCTCATTGTACAAAGGATTTACCAGACGGTATGAGACAGAGGGACAGAAGTGGGGCTTTGAAGGGGGGTCTTTCAGGGGGTGTCATGATACTTTTGTTAGCTGGGGTGGTTTATTGTAGCATTCAGAATAGAGTTCACATCTCCGATTGTTCCTCGTGGGTTTTACTTTTTGTACTCCAGTTTTGTAATTGTAATTTATATTGATATTGTTTGGATTTCGATGTTATCGGTGCTATTTGTGAGAAGGAAATCTTTAGCCTTTTCAGATTTGTGTTTTATTCAATTGAATTGGCTGTTTTTTACTTAATTAACCTTTTCAAAATACAAAAGATTGAAAACAATTTGAGCCATGAAAGGGGCTGTTTAATGTCTACTACTTTTTCAAAAGTGAATGATAGAACTCTATGTTAAGTTTTCAATCAATTACAAAGTGCCAACAAGAGCAATGAATCCACGAATATTCTCTTCGCCAGTAGGAATGATCTGAAATGTTGGTTAAAATGTTACGATTTAATTTTGAAATTCAAACGGATCATCAAATTTGTAAGTGAGTTTCGCTCGTACTTCTCATAGAAATCTACGAAAGCTAAAAGATTAAAGCTCCAACTGCTAAATGATTTGGTTAACCGCAAAGTGCCCAACTAGATGTAATAACCACGAGCACAACCAGGTAACAAGTAAAAATAACGGCAGTTTCCCACCTGGAAGAATCATGACAGCAATAATCCCATGCTACAAGGTTTAAGTGCCATGACTGGATTTTAAAGTTGGGAAACCATCCCTACTTCCACTTGTTACCTCGTTAAGACCCTGAGTCCCCCAAAGGTCACGTGATACTGACCTGGGAAGTGGGAAGTCTGAACCCGTATCTGCCAGTATCCCTGAGCTCGATAGTGTAGGAGTTAACAACCCCCTCCAGATAGATCCAGTCTGCAGAGGAGCCGCTAGTCGGGTAGAGCTCTACACTCCTGATGTTCCGGTACACTTTGCCGTGTGACTCTGAAGAGGAGGTGGCGGGTTAGAGTACCTGTGTAGGAGTTGTAGAGTGTGGTGTTAGAGTACCTGTGTAGGAGTTGTAGAGTGTGGTGTTAGAGGACCTGTGTAAGAGTTGTAGAGTGTGGTGTTAGAGGACCTGTGTAGGAGTTGTAGAGTGTGGTGTTAGAGGACCTGTGTAGGAGTTGTAGAGTGTGGTGTTAGAGGACCTGTGTAGGAGTTGTAGAGTGTGGTGTTAGAGTACCTGTGTAGGAGTTGTAGAGTGTGGTGTTAGAGGACCTGTGTAAGAGTTGTAGAGTGTGGTGTTAGAGGACCTGTGTAGGAGTTGTAGAGTGTGGTGTTAGAGTACCTGTGTAGGAGTTGTAGAGTGTGGTGTTAGAGTACCTGTGTAGGAGTTGTAGAGTGTGGTGTTAGAGGACCTGTGTAAGAGTTGTAGAGTGTGGTGTTAGAGGACCTGTGTAGGAGTTGTAGAGTGTGGTGTTAGAGTACCTGTGTAGGAGTTGTAGAGTGTGGTGTTAGAGGACCTGTGTAGGAGTTGTAGAGTGTGGTGTTAGAGGACCTGTGTAGGAGTTGTAGAGTGAGGTGTTAGAGGACCTGTGTAGGAGTTGTACTTGTAGAGTGAGGTGTTAGAGGACCTGTGTAGGAGTTGTAGAGTGTGGTGTTAGAGGACCTGTGTAAGAGTTGTAGAGTGTGGTGTTAGAGGACCTGTGTAGGAGTTGTAGAGTGTGGTGTTAGAGGACCTGTGTAGGAGTTGTAGAGTGTGGTGTTAGAGGACCTGTGTAGGAGTTGTAGAGTGTGGTGTTAGAGGACCTGTGTAGGAGTTGTAGAGTGTGGTGTTAGAGTACCTGTGTAGGAGTTGTAGAGTATGGTGTTAGAGGACCTGTGTAAGAGTTGTAGAGTGTGGTGTTAGAGGACCTGTGTAAGAGTTGTAGAGTGTGGTGTTAGAGGACCTGTGTAGGAGTTGTAGAGTGTGGTGTTAGAGGACCTGTGTAGGAGTTGTAGAGTGTGGTGTTAGAGGACCTGTGTAGGAGTTGTAGAGTGTGGTGTTAGAGGACCTGTGTAAGAGTTGTAGAGTGTGGTGTTAGAGAACCTGTGTAGGAGTTGTACTTGTAGAGTGTGGTCTTAGAGGACCTGTGTAAGAGTTGTAGAGTGTGGTGTTAGAGGACCTGTGTAGGAGTTGTAGAGTGTGGTGTTAGAGGACCTGTGTAGGAGTTGTAGAGTGAGGTGATAGAGGACCTGTGTAGGAATTGTACTTGTAGAGTGTGGTGTTAGAGGACCTGTGTAGGAGTTGTAGAGTGTGGTGTTAGAGGACCTGTGTAGGAGTTGTAGAGTGTGGTGTTAGAGGACCTGTGTAGGAGTTGTAGAGTGTGGTGTTAGAGGACCTGTGTAGGAGTTGTACTTGTAGAGTGAGGTGTTAGAAGACCTGTGTAGGAGTTGTACTTGTAGAGTGTGGTCTTGGAGGACCTGTGTAAGAGTTGTAGAGTGTGGTGTTAGAGGACCTGTGTAGGAGTTGTACTTGTAGAGTGTGGTGTTAGAGGACCTGTGTAGGAGTTGTACTTGAGAAGTGTGGTGTTAGAGGACCTGTGTAGGAGTTGTAGAGTGTGGTGTTAGAGGACCTGTGTAGGAGTTGTAGAGTGTGGTGTTAGAGGACCTGTGTAGGAGTTGTAGAGTGTGGTGTTAGAGGACCTGTGTAGGAGTTGTAGAGTGTGGTGTTAGAGGACCTGTGTAGGAGTTGTAGAGTGTGGTGTTAGAGGACCTGTGTAGGAGTTGTAGAGTGTGGTGTTAGAGGACCTGTGTAGGAGTTGTAGAGTGTGGTGTTAGAGGACCTGTGTAGGAGTTGTAGAGTGTGGTGTTAGAGGACCTGTGTAGGAGTTGTAGAGTGTGGTGTTAGAGTACCTGTGTAGGAGTTGTAGAGTGTGGTGTTAGAGGACCTGTGTAAGAGTTGTAGAGTGTGGTGTTAGAGGACCTGTGTAAGAGTTGTAGAGTGTGGTGTTAGAGGACCTGTGTAGGAGTTGTAGAGTGTGGTGTTAGAGGACCTGTGTAGGAGTTGTAGAGTGTGGTGTTAGAGGACCTGTGTAGGAGTTGTAGAGTGTGGTGTTAGAGGACCTGTGTAAGAGTTGTAGAGTGTGGTGTTAGAGGACCTGTGTAAGAGTTGTAGAGTGTGGTGTTAGAGGACCTGTGTAGGAGTTGTAGAGTGTGGTGTTAGAGGACCTGTGTAGGAGTTGTAGAGTGTGGTGTTAGAGGACCTGTGTAGGAGTTGTACTTGTAGAGTGAGGTGTTAGAAGACCTGTGTAGGAGTTGTACTTGTAGAGTGTGGTCTTGGAGGACCTGTGTAAGAGTTGTAGAGTGTGGTGTTAGAGGACCTGTGTAGGAGTTGTACTTGTAGAGTGTGGTGTTAGAGGACCTGTGTAGGAGTTGTACTTGAGAAGTGTGGTGTTAGAGGACCTGTGTAGGAGTTGTAGAGTGTGGTGTTAGAGGACCTGTGTAGGAGTTGTAGAGTGTGGTGTTAGAGGACCTGTGTAGGAGTTGTAGAGTGTGGTGTTAGAGGACCTGTGTAGGAGTTGTAGAGTGTGGTGTTAGAGGACCTGTGTAGGAGTTGTAGAGTGTGGTGTTAGAGGACCTGTGTAGGAGTTGTAGAGTGTGGTGTTAGAGGACCTGTGTAGGAGTTGTAGAGTGTGGTGTTAGAGGACCTGTGTAGGAGTTGTAGAGTGTGGTGTTAGAGGACCTGTGTAGGAGTTGTAGAGTGTGGTGTTAGAGTACCTGTGTAGGAGTTGTAGAGTGTGGTGTTAGAGGACCTGTGTAAGAGTTGTAGAGTGTGGTGTTAGAGGACCTGTGTAAGAGTTGTAGAGTGTGGTGTTAGAGGACCTGTGTAGGAGTTGTAGAGTGTGGTGTTAGAGGACCTGTGTAGGAGTTGTAGAGTGTGGTGTTAGAGGACCTGTGTAGGAGTTGTAGAGTGTGGTGTTAGAGGACCTGTGTAAGAGTTGTAGAGTGTGGTGTTAGAGGACCTGTGTAGGAGTTGTACTTGTAGAGTGTGGTCTTAGAGGACCTGTGTAAGAGTTGTCGAGTGTGGTGTTAGAGGACCTGTGTAGGAGTTGTAGAGTGTGGTGTTAGAGGACCTGTGTAGGAGTTGTAGAGTGAGGTGATAGAGGACCTGTGTAGGAGTTGTACTTGTAGAGTGTGGTGTTAGAGGACCTGTGTAGGAGTTGTAGACTGTGGTGTTAGAGGACCTGTGTAAGAGTTGTAGAGTGTGGTGTTAGAGGACCTGTGTAGGAGTTGTACTTGTAGAGTGTGGTGTTAGAGGACCTGTGTAGGAGTTGTAGAGTGTGGTGTTAGAGGACCTGTGTAAGAGTTGTAGAGTGTGGTGTTAGAGGACCTGTGTAGGAGTTGTAGAGTGTGGTGTTAGAGGACCTGTGTAGGAGTTGTAGAGTGTGGTGTTAGAGGACCTGTGTAGGAGTTGTAGAGTGTGGTGTTAGAGGACCTGTGTAAGAGTTGTAGAGTGTGGTGTTAGAGGACCTGTGTAGGAGTTGTACTTGTAGAGTGTGGTCTTAGAGGACCTGTGTAAGAGTTGTAGAGTGTGGTGTTAGAGGACCTGTGTAGGAGTTGTAGAGTGTGGTGTTAGAGGACCTGTGTAAGAGTTGTAGAGTGTGGTGTTAGAGGACCTGTGTAGGAGTTGTACTTGTAGAGTGTGGTGTTAGAGGACCTGTGTAGGAGTTGTAGAGTGTGGTGTTAGAGGACCTGTGTAGGAGTTGTAGAGTGTGGTGTTAGAGGACCTGTGTAGGAGTTGTAGAGTGTGGTGTTAGAGGACCTGTGTAAGAGTTGTAGAGTGTGGTGTTAGAGGACCTGTGTAGGAGTTGTACTTGTAGAGTGTGGTCTTAGAGGACCTGTGTAAGAGTTGTCGAGTGTGGTGTTAGAGGACCTGTGTAGGAGTTGTAGAGTGTGGTGTTAGAGGACCTGTGTAGGAGTTGTAGAGTGAGGTGATAGAGGACCTGTGTAGGAGTTGTACTTGTAGAGTGTGGTGTTAGAGGACCTGTGTAGGAGTTGTAGACTGTGGTGTTAGAGGACCTGTGTAAGAGTTGTAGAGTGTGGTGTTAGAGGACCTGTGTAGGAGTTGTACTTGTAGAGTGTGGTGTTAGAGGACCTGTGTAGGAGTTGTAGAGTGTGGTGTTAGAGGACCTGTGTAAGAGTTGTAGAGTGTGGTGTTAGAGGACCTGTGTAGGAGTTGTAGAGTGTGGTGTTAGAGGACCTGTGTAGGAGTTGTAGAGTGTGGTGTTAGAGGACCTGTGTAGGAGTTGTAGAGTGTGGTGTTAGAGGACCTGTGTAAGAGTTGTAGAGTGTGGTGTTAGAGGACCTGTGTAGGAGTTGTACTTGTAGAGTGTGGTCTTAGAGGACCTGTGTAAGAGTTGTAGAGTGTGGTGTTAGAGGACCTGTGTAGGAGTTGTAGAGTGTGGTGTTAGAGGACCTGTGTAAGAGTTGTAGAGTGTGGTGTTAGAGGACCTGTGTAGGAGTTGTACTTGTAGAGTGTGGTGTTAGAGGACCTGTGTAGGAGTTGTACTTGTAGAGTGAGGTGTTAGAGGACCTGTGTAGGAGTTGTAGAGTGAGGTGATAGAGGACCTGTGTAGGAGTTGTACTTGTAGAGTGTGGTGTTAGAGGACCTGTGTAGGAGTTGTAGACTGTGGTGTTAGAGGACCTGTGTAAGAGTTGTAGAGTGTGGTGTTAGAGGACCTGTGTAGGAGTTGTACTTGTAGAGTGTGGTGTTAGAGGACCTGTGTAGGAGTTGTACTTGTAGAGTGAGGTGTTAGAGGACCTGTGTAGGAGTTGTACTTGTAGAGTGTGGTCTTGGAGGACCTGTGTAAGAGTTGTAGAGTGTGGTGTTAGAGGACCTGTGTAGGAGTTGTACTTGTAGAGTGTGGTGTTAGAGGACCTGTGTAGGAGTTGTACTTGAGAAGTGTGGTGTTAGAGGACCTGTGTAGGAGTTGTAGAGTGTGGTGTTAGAGGACCTGTGTAGG